GTTTCATCATTCGAATGGTCAGTTTTTGGGAAACGTTATTGTGGACAATATATTTTGCACATCAGCTATTTACGTACTTAAACCTTATGGGGTAGAAAAAAAAAAGTCATTTAGAGAACCAAGTGTTCCATCACTACATTCTAAAATGATAGATGAGTAATTCGTAATATAGGGTAAATGTCACAAACGTTATCTGTTCGGAACAAGTTTTTCTCCCATTTGGCATGTTTCACTCGGAGATTGATTTATCATTAGTAGCCCGCATGTAGAGAAAATTTGTTTTCCCTACTCTTGTATGTAATTTCAAGGAAATTATTTACGTGCAAGATGAGGGGGGCGAAAAAGTGTTACCCGAAACGTTGGTAACCGCAGCCATCGGTCCGCGATAAAAACACGCGTGATAAATCGTCACAACTTATTTCCTCCACCAGCGATAGGTAGTTTGTGATGGTTAATTCTCGATGCATGACAAATGGTCACACGTTGAGTTATCTCATTGATCATTGGAGATTTTTACAGGCTCAGTGGTGGATTTGAGCCTCTTCATTACTCACTCGCGCGAACAACTGGTTCAAAAAGTGTCGAAGCCTCTTGACACGTGGTTGAAAGTGGTTGGAAGGAGAAAAAAAAAAAAAAAAAAAAAAGAGTCGGTGGTTATTGACACGAGCCCAAGATCAACGACGAGTTGGCACTTGTGCCCTTGATTCCGACCAATATTCCCCTGTACCGTGTCCCTGCAACAAGTCAACCCAAACCAGTGGAGTCAAGGGTAGGAACGAGCACGCAGTACGTACATCACACGTATAGTCTTGTACTGTCCTCGACTCGTTTTTCGCCTCCCAAGGAGACCTTTGTCAATATGTATACAGGCATTACATACACGATGGGCGCAGGCGTCGGCTCGTTATTAATGGTGCGCGTATTTGTGTACTCGCGTATTATACGCACGTTTAATACACCCCGTCACGCGGAGCGCGACCAAGCTCCCAGCCAGCCGGTTTTTCTTACCTGGACACTCCCAAGCTCCCAGACAACATATATACACATACATTCATCCTCTCATCCTTTCCGTGCGTATATGTATTTTTTATCTACGTTTTCTTTTTCCAGCTCAGAGAGCAGCCGCCGCGCACCTCGCGTATAATGTATACACTCGCTCTCTTATATGCGAACAACCTTTTTGCCACCCCACCCCCCATCTTCGGAACCATTTCCTTTCGCACTTTTTGCTCGCCGAGATACACTCGGAGCACACTGGTAGGTGTGCAATTTCTTCCTGTCCCTTCTCTTACTCTTCGCTCCATCTGCAAACTCAAGGATAAGATGCCACAGCTTCTCTTTTATCATTTGGTCCTTTAATCCTTTCGACGTCCCTGTGCGAGCTACATTATTTCTTTGATGAACTCGTGGATCCGACTTATCTTCGGACTCGCCTCATTCGATGCGCACACGGGAAGCAGGTATACACCTTTTGACAAATTTTGACGATATTGCAATCAGCACCGATCATACGATACTATTTTCATCGATCGGAACGTCAATCCATGTACTATTTATCTCTTGTTGACGAGTTGTCGAAAAAAAATTAATAAACCAATTGGTATTTAACCCGTTTGAGATACTAATTACAACTCTGTTCAGAGTCGGCGTAGCCGCACACGTAACTACATATTATATACCGAGCGCGCGCCTTCAGCTTGAAAAAGCTCCCTCGCACACGACGCCCTCGCTCGGAGCCGTATATCGGACCGGCGGACGATGCATCAAACCGCCCGGCTCAATAATTCCTTAATTCTCCGCAAATTTATTCTTTATTCACTTGGCGCGTGTAAATGCACACACACAGACGCGCGTTTATGTATGTACGTATATACGTGTGGTCGTGGTATGCCACAGTGTTTGGTTGTGTATAGCATGTATATGTACATTCGCGTACGTAGAGAGGCGAGACCGGTATGATACACTCCGCCGGCCGGCCGGCAATTCCTCTTCGCTCCTCGCGCCAGTGGATACACGTATAACACGGCCTGCCGCTACAACTCGTTGGTATATATATATGTATACGGGTATGGAGCCGCGTCTCGGTTCGCGTTTTATTTGGCCGAGCGGCTACCGCATCGATATTATTTATGTCCGAGCCCTATACACATGCACGTATATAGGTAGTGCGGTCCGTATCGACACCGAGCGGAGGCCCCGGTTACACACACTCACGTAGCCGTATAGCATCTCTCGACGGGGAAAATCGTGAAACACGCTCCCATCCTCCGCCCCCACCCCCCCCCCTTTTCCCTTACGAGCTACATATTCCCGCGCTCCGCTCATCCTCTCCTCCGCTACCCGAGCCTCATCTAATTCTCTTTGACCTTTTACGCTCACCTCGCCATCATTACCCCTTCGAGCTCGCTTATATACTCACTTACCCGTTCATTTTTCTCCGAACAACCGAGTGTTTCCGTCCCTGCTAATCACTATGGGCTCGATACGTGGATGCTGTTGTTGCTTTTATCCTATACCTTATGCGCGGACACTCGTTTTTGGCTCATTTTTTCCTTATGTTGCTCTCCTTTCGTGGAATCCGACGCTATTTCGTATAAATTCAAGAACAATATTGCTTTGAAAAATTTGTCCTTTTGGAGCTTGTTTTTCGAAGCAACGATATCACCGAAACGCATTTACTTGTTGAACATCCGAGAGAAAGATCAATGGCAATCGTACACTTGTGTAATACCATCACTGCCATCAGCCAAGGCTCAATCAAGTGTACCCCCTAACAAAGAAGGAAACATAATTACACGGTAAGTGCAGGATGTTTATACATTTACGTTCAGCTGGTAAGTCGTGGTATCAACACGCGCACTTGCCCCTCTGTCAGAGACTGTGGGAGTAATTAAAACGTACAGCCGTATATATTATATATATGACAAACTAAACGACACAAAGTGGAAAGAAGAGGCATCAACCATAAGGGGGTGGGAGAAAGTTGGCGCAAAGAATATAAAAGTAGCGATGGGCGCAAATACATGCCAGCGCGAGATATCTAAGCTGCAGCGGGGCATCGCGAAGAATACCAGTCCTCCTCCTCCTCCTCCTTATCCTCGTTGCAACGTGCCCGCGTCTGTATAGGTGTATGGGATGTACATGTAGCTGCTTAGCTGATGCTTAGCTGTGTGCCGGGGCTCGATAGACCGAGAGAGAGAGAGAGAGATGGCATCGAGGAAAGAGATAATCGAGGGAGGAAATACTTGCCGGAGCATCAGCTATCACTGGAAGCTGCCCGGGGTCGTGATATGTGGCTCGAGAGCTCAGGAATGCGCGCAAGCGTCGCTTTTTTGCTTCTGTTTTCCTCCTCCTCCGCCGCACCAGCTCTCTCTCTCTGCTCTCTTTCCATCCCGTTGGCTCGTTCGTCCCCCCTATGCGCATGGGTAGTGTGTATAGTCGAGAAAAGCCTCCGCCAACGTTACGCACGCCGAGGGTATGATTTTCCTCCCTCTACCTCGAGCTTTTGCCAGTCTCGAGGAGAACCAATGGGGTGGTAGAAGCGAAATCACACGATGAAAGTGTTCATTTACAGATAGTACAGTGCCATTGTGTGACGAATATTTTCTAATGTCACCCTTTGTTACCGAAATTCTCACGCTAATAAAAATAAGGTGTATACTCTAAAGCCTCTTTGGTCCTCTCCATCGCTGTATACATATACTTATATACCTACAGTGACGATGAGTGCTCCAACTTGTGCACATTAGCACTCACTCGGGTAAAACACGCGCTGCTGCTCTTTTCTCTTTCGGTAGGTATATATTACTACCTACAAGCGCATCGAGATCCATATATACGCGCGAGCCGCGGTTGCATCCTCAGATCTGATAAATATATACATATATATGTGTGTGTGTTTTCCCGAGTACACACACACACACACACACACACATATATATACACACGGATCTATCCATCGACGCGGCTGCCGCGCGCATCCCTCTCTCCGTCGCGAGGATGAAAAGCTATATACGTATATATGTCTATATGCAGCGCAGGAGGAAACGGCGAGCGATAGCGATTGGCACTCGTCGACGTGATTTATGCCCCATTGCCGCGCGGCATCCTCGGCCGTCCGTCTTCGGGTTCCCGAGCTCGCCTAATACCTATACCTCCCCCCCCCACACACACGTGCACACGTATAGACACCTATATGATCGTTCTCTTTGGCAGCGAAGCGCTGCAACAATGCCGCTGATGCTATTGCGCGGTGCAGCTGTATGGTGTATACATCACCGCGGGGTGATGATGCGGCACCGCGGAGGAGGAGAGAGTGAAAAGTCCAAGACGGACACTCGTTGAGGGATGAGCAGCTGGAATTTTCGAGCTTGATAACCGTGCGACCGCTTCCCATGACCTTATTACATATTATATATACCCTTACTTACACGTATCATTTGCGCCCTTCGATTGACTTTTTTTCTCTCTCTCTCTTTGAGGTATTGAAATTTTTTTTTTTTTTTTTTTTCATCAGGTCTCTTTCTCTTGTTGCCACATGATTTTTTTCATCGAGTCTTTATGAATATTTGGAGTTACGATTTTCAATGTAATCCTTTCATTCGGAATCAACGATGGTAATTGCGTCTTGTATGAAAAACAACTGTACGGAAAAATAAAATCAATTATTTTTAGATTTCACGAGGTGGCGTAAATAACCGAATAAAAAAAAAAAAAAAAAAAATTAACATTACGTTAGGACTTACGCGTCCTAAAGGAAACATATCAAAATCGTGGCTCTTGCATGAGGTAGAATATAGATGTGTGTAGGTGTAATTGTAGTATCATAGGCAAAAATCATTCTTAAGTAACTTGGTCATAAAGTCTTATGATTGTAATTAATTTTAAAGATGGCATTTTTTTTTTTTTTAAATCCATAAGCACATTGTTTTGTTCGTCTTGCGAAGCAAGTATTGGGCACATGAGCCAAATACTTACTTGTGACAAACTCTTGATTTCAGGACGAGTACCGACAGCGCAGGCGCTTGTCGACGCCGAGCGGAAGCCCGAGCCCACCGCGGCCTTCGAGACTGTCGCGGTCCACTGGTACACTCACGCGGCCTGACCAGTTTCGCAGCGAGCACAAGGGCTCGCGGGACCGCCAGGACCAGGACGTCGAGAGGAAAGGATGGTTCAAGTCCCTCTCCCGCAAGACCAAGTCCAGCGCGAAAGTAAGCTCTTTTATATTTTTCGCTAGTCCGTCGCAGTTTGGAGCGGCGCATCTCGTCATCAATTAAAAATTATATTTGTTTTTTCGGATGGTCCGGTATTGCAACCTTTTAATATGAATGGCTAGTAATTTTAAGGTAGCACTCTCGTTACTCTGTATAGTGGTTAAACGAGAGCCAAGTCTCCTAATCTCATAGTCACGGCTGTCAAGTTTACGAATTAATATGTATGGACGTTTGCGTAGAGAAAAGGTATTAAAAAACAGTCCTTTCCCTCATGAACCCTGTATCAAGACTTTGAAGTGAGAAAAATGTAGCATTAGCTTTTACTTTCCCAACTTGCATTGAAATTCGAAGGAGATTTTTTTTTCTTCTAAATTAAAAATAAATTGCATGTTTCGTCGCGAGTCCGTTTAAAGTTTTTAAGGAACAAATGAGCTATTCAATATTAATACCTACATGATGCGAAGCGTGTTTCTGAAGCCTGTGTATTCGTAGTGATTTAATTTTTATGTTAACTGTTACATTTGGTAAAGCTTTTTCGCGTGTACGTGAAAATATACCTTTTGAGGCATTGACCGAACAAGGAGGTAAAAACGTATGAATCTTTGGCAAAGATATTTATCGTTAATTAAAATACAAATCAACGGTATGATACACTGATTTATTAAACGAATTACACAGATACATGATAAATTACATGATACATGGTCATGATAAAATTCTACGATGGCAAGTAAGGAGTGTTTCAATAATGCAGGTCACAAGTGAAAAGATACAAATTAGAGGCGATACATTAAACGATGAAAACACGCAAAGGCTTGGACCTATGTCTCGCGGAAAAATGTCGAATCAAGCGGGTGATTTATTTTTGTCAATTATACATCCATTGACTGAGCTCAAGGATCTGTACGTGCCCAATACTTGCAAAAATCCATTGGCATATATTTATTGTAAACAGCCTTCTCTTATGCTAACAACGAAAAATCTTAACAGTAAGCCAACATGTCACAGTGATTGTCACGGTAAATGATCTTTGTAAACATAATTGTGCTGTACGTATAGGATCATTAAGAAATTCACTTTCTTTGGGAACGATTGCTGAAAATAGCAAAATTAAGTAACGCTTTTGCACTGTTTATGGCGAATAAAACTCACTCGTTTTCTGAGCAACCCTGTCCTTGAAATTTAAGTCTCTCATACTTGCCCAAAACGAATTCACCGATAAAAACCAAACATGACAGCAAGTGACAAAAGAGAACCACGTGAATCATCTTTATGTACTGCGATAGTATTTCGTTAGTGTTAAAAAGTCTTCTTTTCTCCTCTTGGAACTTCATTTGCTTGTACACGTCGATGTCTGATATGTTTCTGTACCAAAAATCCAACAAACCCGATTCCTGCAGGCTGCGTATTTTTTCACCGAATTTTCCAACGTACGGAGAAATTTTGGCGAAAAACATGGCTTTCCACAAAAAAATGAGCGGCTCTTTGACGAGATTAAGTCTCCAGCCGTACGTGTTTTTGGCAAACCTTGCCGCCAGCGGTTTTCCTTCCGTGAGGCTCGTCTCGCATCCTCCAATTTTCCCAAAACGAATTAACGATTTCACACACGCGGATGCTTCATCCTCCCCGTGGAGTGTGTTCGACGAAACGGCCAGGTGTTTGTGCTCTTTGCTGAGAGAAACGGACAAAAAGTACTTGGTGGGCAAAAGAATCGACAAATTTATTTTTAGTCTAATCACGTCTTCCAAAGTGTCGAAGCCGATAAATGTTTTGTGGTACAAGTGACATTCGTACAGCAGGTTGATTATCTGCGCCGAAAATATGACACTTGTGCCGGCCAAGCAGATGAAGAAACATCTTTCAAACATTTTTTTTGGCCTGCACAACGTGGCATTGCCGATCAGAAGATTAACGACGCTGTAACAAGTCCAGACTTGTCTGTCGAACTCAAAAAGTCGGATGACAATAAAAATGAACAAGGTAATTGTTAGCAATACACACACGCTTAGTGCGAAAGTGTAAGGCATCCTGGTCTCGTGCGTACCAAGCTGTTTGACAATGAGTAAACGATTCTGGGGAAACAGGAGAATTATTTCGTTGGGCACGTTGTCCAATGACCTCAAATATCCTGAAAATAACATCGGACTGTATATGAACTCGATAAATTCGTACTTTTCCACTTCGTGACCAATGCGAACCAGTTGCGTTGAAAAATTGAGGCTCTTTTCCAAAATTTTACTAATTACGGCCATCGGTCCGGAATATTGAGTCACGTCTGTCATCGAAGCGTTTGGTGTTAAAAGCAGTTCTTTGCGATAGGGTCCGTGTGTCCCAGCAAGTAAACCATACTGGTACAAATTCTTCAATTTGTCATAAAACAATGGAGTTTTGGGAGGAAAGGCTTCCGTCGTCAACGAATGGTTGAATGGGTTGTACTGGTACACCGTGACCTTGAAACCAGGGGGTCTTGTTGGCATTAACTTTGAGTGATGCTTTTTACGTTGCGTCAACCGAAACACCACGATGTTCAAGAATTTCATTGTCCAAGCGAAACCGAAGTATTCCTTGAAATTGATTTTCGTGTCATCGTTGATCAAAAAAATCGCGCACTTTGGCCTCGGAGTTTTACCAGTTGATTTTTCAACCACTTGTAAATAAATTCTTAGTAGTTTGGTAACACTTATCCTGACGTGGCGTTGAATGATCATTCCGTACATTGAATTCCTCTGGTATCTTCTTAGCAATGATTCTTTCAAGCGCTTCACCCGATGGTTGTGGGGATTCATCCACAGTTCTGGAAACCGGATGACCAGCGTGGGAATTTTGTCGGATATTTCTCTTATTATTTGCGAGGAAGCGGCGGAAATCCGTTTTTCGGCGACGAGTAGCGTCATCTGGGGTACGGATGAATTTTGTTTCACGTATTCTGCAAAGTAATCCGTGACGTTTCTCAAACTGTGACTATTTACAGAACAAAAAATTGTGATAAAATGAAAAATAATTTTTTTTTGCAAATTCATGCCGATGAGCACAAATTCACGGAGCGAGGAATATTGAGTTGTTTTTGTCGGTGTGGCTTGTACGTGACTAACTTTAAAATCAGGATGTCCTTGTATGCCATTGCCGAGGATGAATATTTGATCAGGGTAAAGGGGGAAAAAAACAAGCTTTTACTGGTAACGATAAAAAGCATCACATGCTAAGCTTAAATAATAAAAATATTTACATCTTTCGCGCAAGAACACTTATATTCGCTATTTATTCATGAGCCATCGATCGAACGGCAAGTTTAACAATTGGTCACACTCAGTTCGGGGTGCCGAGTAGGGTTTGTAGCCTTTTATATGCCATGTATTTTATTCCCCTGGATATGACAGTTATAAACAATTTAAAAATTTTTGATAAAATAATTCCTTTAGCTTATTCGTACCATACCAAGGCAAAAAAGGACTCTTGTGATTTACTCGCTGAATGCTTAGATTTTTTTTTTTTTAATAATCGGTACTACTTTTATCGATTATTCAAATTTGTTTCCACAAGATCTGTAATAAATAATTTTTTGTTTATCCCAAAGAAATTTTTGGTTTTATTTATAAAAAAATGTGAACTGCTCACTTTTTCGGACTCTCACTCTATAAAAAATCGCGTTCAAGAGTTTAAAGGATGATGGAAACACATGTGCCTGCATCAATTATAAGCTCACAGCGCCGTGAAAAGAAAGCAGAGGGTTGGTACCATAATGGGTAAAAATTGCATGCATACACCGATCGACGGGAAAAGGGAAAACTGTGGTCCGTTTGTTTAGACATTGCCAGACGTAAATGCGCATATTGTACAAATATAGGAGTATATATACTTACCTACGATATGACATGCCGCGTATAAGTACTCCTTTCACTTTGACTCCAACTGAAACAGAGTGTGGCAAGCAGAAAGCCGTGTGTCTAAGTATACATATGTATATGTGTATATAAGTCGAGGCGTCACTTGCCAACATCCATAAGGATAGGATCGCTTTCGTTACGTACATACATTATGTTCGCAAGCATTTGCAAACACTCCGTATACATATATAGTATAAGTTGCACGGCGCAGAACGCGAGCTGCACGTTGTATAGTCATAGGCATCACCGAGGCACTCGTAAACAGATACTTACCTCGGGACTTTCTCCGAAAGCGCACGCCGGCTGCACACGCGAGGATGTTACATTAGGAAACATCTATTATCCTGCACGCCCTCGCCAACTCGCTGCTGGAACGAAACCACCCGACACGTGTGAATCTTTGCGTTTGCTTGTAATATCGTGTTCATATATATATCGGGTTGGACGTGAACGCCCGACATTTCTTTTCGTTGTTTTTCTTGTCACGGGGAGACATAGGGCAGATCACAGTCTACCCCTGGGGTCAATCCTGGCAGGACCAGATTCGAAGGTCGGGGTAAGAGTGGAAAAAAGGGTATAAAAGGCTAAGTTGGTAAGGAGGAGATGAGTGTTGGTGGGTTTTGGATGGGATGAGGGAGTAAGGATGATTAGGATAAGGTTCTATACATGCATATACCTACGAGTGATTAAATTTCGTTTTGATCCCTTGAGCACAAACAAGTTGGTTTTAAGAGACAAAACAGAGAGCCGAGTTATCTCCCTGCAGGCGACCGATGGTGGGGTGAAAGAAAATAAGGCCATACGTAAGGGTAAAATATCTGCTTGGCGTCATCTATCTGTCAAGCATTACATGCGTATTTGGAGTAGCGAACATGGCCATCCGTGTTCCTTGCACTACCTCCTCCCTTCGCAAAACCTATATAGCTCGCTCGGCCTAACCGGTACCAAGGATTTATCGGCACCTTTTTTTTTTCCGCGTCAAGGAAAACCCGGCATCGATATGTGCCATCGGCTCTAATCGGGACGCGTCAAAAGTGACGCGCGCTACACGCGCATCCTCGTAGCTTTTTATTACTTTACATGTCATCTCGCGCGTCACTCATCCTATTTATTTTACCTCGGTCTACTCACCCGCGCGTGTTCTTATACCTCGGTCGTCTACGTTTTTTTTTTTTTTTTTTTTACTCGTTTCCATCCTTTTTCCTCTCCCGCCCCGCCTCCCTCACCCATATACTTTCACATACTTTCCGCGTATACGTACGCGCGCACCTTTGTTTTCTCGGTACTCGGTAGAATTTTCACTTTTACCCAGAACAGGGAGGGGGAGAGCCGTAAACATCCATCCACTCCCCCCCCCTGCCTTCCTTGAAACGTACGCCAGCACCGTGGTTGTTAATAACAGAGGGAGTCGCGATGAAGGGGCGGGGGGGTAACAGCAACAACGACACGTGAATACAAGCAAACAAATAAAGCTCTCTCGTGGAGATCGGAAAATATGCGCGAGGTGATTGCGCGGGCGCAGAGCTAGAGGGGATCATTAAGGCGAATGCTTGAAATGTTTTGCAGCCCGTTGATAAGAAGCCGAGAATACCGGAGAGCGAGATTTTAACGACCGGCACGGAAGACGAGGAGGCCTCGTCGGCGCCCGAGAGGACTTTGGTGCAGAAGAATCTGCGCTTCTTCGGGGACACCGATCTAGAGTCGATTTCGTCGAACCGTGACCGCAGGTAATTAACCTTTTTCCTTTTCTTTCTTTTTTTTTTTTTTTTTTTTTTCTGTACATACGTACATGTAGTACGTATAGGCATGCTTTTCCATATTATATGTACCCATCTTTTCCCGATAAGGCTGACGCGCTTTGATGTCTCGATGAACAATTGTCCGAGATATTTGGGTTGTCTTAAGATGACGTTTAAACCTTTCAAAGTATTTTGTAAACTTCTTATAGAGACTCTCAAACAATTGGTGTCCTTTTCAGACTTTTGCAGTCCTTTTCAATGACTTGATTTTTTTTTTTTTTTTAATGCAAAAAGGAGAAAAAACAAAAATATGTTTACTCTGTGAGCTGTGTTTTTTACGCGAGTTTGGTTGTATCCAACGATTGGGCAATCGTACGAGGTGTAAAATGATTCGTTTCAGCGCAAAGTACACCATGCACGGGGATTCTGTGGTTAATTATACGCGTATAAGTACGTGGGACAGTTAGTTTTGAGAAGTGAAAAGCGAGTACGAGATTCCCGAGTGACTCTACGGGTGGGGGAGGGCGTGCGTATACGCGTGTTGGTACATAGGTCTGCGAACAATAGAGATTCGCACTCGCGCGCGCGAGATATGTATACAACATGTACGGGGATTAATTTGACAAAACGAGTGGCTCTATATCGGGATGAAAAATCTCTCGTTTGCCGCTGTGTTCGTGCGCGTACGTGCGAGAGACTCCGCGAACAATTGCCCGTTACTTTTTGGTTTTGTTTTTTACGCGACTTTTCAACTACTTTCACATCTTTATTGAAATCCCAATGTTAAACGAGCGAGGGGAATCGTCGTCCAACTCTTTTGGCCTTTTTTTTGAAATTTGGAATGGGTTGTTTGGAAAAAATGGTGACTTCCCGGCGAACAAACAACGTTTACAACGGTAGCTTTGACAATTTCATCCTTCAGAGAGTTTTTTCATTTTTAAGTGTTAAAACAATAATTTTTGATCGATATTACAGTTACGTATGGATAAAAACTACTTTTTATCAAAGAAATAATAAAATGTTCGTAGACGACGAAATGTCACCAAATGGTAATTTTTTTTTTTTTTTTTTCAATTTTACTATGAAAAGAGGCACGCTCGCAGTGTACCAGAGTATATGGAAAACTGAAAGAGAGATAATGAAAAAGGGAAAGGGAGAAGGGGGAGGAAGAGAAAAAAAAAACTGACGGGTTGTTATCAAGAACGTAACGTATATACACGTAAATATATATACATGTGTATGTCGAGCTGCAGGAACAAGCGAGCAGAGGAGCATGCCAAAGTAAGGCGTGAGATCACGAACTCGAGCCGTCACCCCATGGGAATCGTACTCCCGGCGAGGAAGTCGTCGAGGCTCGCGGAGAGCGCCCTGTCTTCCGGTGAAAGTACGACGGGCGACAGCAGCCAGCAGAGCCAGAATTCCCAGAGGTCCCAGAGATCCGTCGTCTACTTGCACGCCGCAACAGGTTCGCCATACACGTCATTCATACATGTTTTACACTCACATGTTATTATATACCGATCCTTTGTGGAAAAATGGTTTTTTACCTCGTAACAATACAGTTTCTTTTTCTTTTTTTTTTTTTTTCCTAAGTGCCAATACCCTACGGTGAGTATTGCAACTTTACATGCACACATATGATGCTTAGATCAAGCGATACGTTCTCGCTCCTGTGCCCAGGAAGAGAGCCATTATTTCAGATCGACTTGATTGGATCGTAAAATTTATCGCGGCGAAATATCTCTCGGTTGATTACCGTCTCGTAATTGATCGATCGAAATATTTCAATTAGGAGAGCATAAAATTATCCTCACGGAGTATGAATTTAAATCTTGAAATTAATTTTATTTATCGACTTGCGTCGGCCTAGTACCCACACAATCCCAGTTTATTGGTTGTTGGTTGGCGATTTAAAATAGTTTTTCAGTCGAATAAAAAACATTTTAGCCAAGCTTTTTCCCACTATATTACGAACACGTTACCAATGAAAAATACATCTTGTCTCAGTACTTAGTTCAAGTATCAATGTTGTTAGAAAACATACGAATTCCAACATCGCGTAAAGTTTTGAGAAAATATTTCAACGGCAATTATTTATTTGAAAATAAAAATTATCGTGTATGATTTTTGGATGGACAATTAGTTATGTTTTCTAAAATTCATGTAAAATAATGATACAACTAAAAAAAAAAAATACATCTTATCAGATCAATGGACTGTATTGCAGCATAGTCAAGTCCAGTGACACGTGAGCACGTAGTTTTACAGACTCACTTGACGCTGGAGCCCACAAAAATCATTTATAAAATATATAAGTAATGATCCAAAAAAAATCCTCAATGAGCGAGCACTAACGCCCGGCGACGGGCACGCACCTTTGATGTTTTCCGGACCCACCCAATCAAGTTGGCGAGATACCCGGGCCGAACGAGCGGCGTCACGCTGCCAGCCGGGAGGAGCTCAGCCGACCCCTGGCCGCGCACACGCGCACCGTCTCCAGGAGCGTGAGTGTACTGACACCCTGGCGACCCCGGCACTTGCGCGAGCCCTACGAGATCAACTACGACCAGCAGCAGCTCCACGCCAACGGCAAACAACAACAACAACCGACGACGATGCGCCGCAGGCAACGCAGCCGAGAGACCCTCGGTCGGCGTGGCAAGGAGCCCAGGCGCTCGAGCAAAGATGCCACTACCAAGAGCGGTACGTGTCCCATGTGTATATTATTATGTACGGTTGGCGAGCTCTACCGATCGACGACTCGTTTATACTTCTCATTATTCGAAGAAAAAAATACTGTTTCCATACATCTACATATGTCTTTTCACTATGATAATTAACGCGGCCGAAAATAACTCCAATGAAAATTCAATTGATTCAACTTGGGATGTTGATTTCTACATTGATTATTAAATAATCTCAATGAAAATACCTCACTGTTGACAACGTTTGGTCCACTATTTTTTTTTACTTTTTTGCAAATAATATTTTCAGGTCTCAAAATGCCAATTATATTTAAACAAAAAATTTGATTCAACTATAAACGTTTCAACAGCGTCCCCTTGAACTTGAAGTAATTCATAATGACGTGACGAGGCTTGGATAGCAAATAATGGGGTGACTGGTTTTAGGCACGATGAATCGCAGCACGCTGAAGTCGAAGGACAAGCAAAAAGTGGACAGAACCGTGTCCACGGAGTCGCTGGCCAGCAAGTCCCGGAACGTCGACACCCGGCCGGAGTTGAACAGGTCGACGTCGGTCCCACGCGACCCGAACAAGAGCGCGGGATGGTTCAAGCTCAAGAGCAAGAAATCCCGGGCCTAAGCGAGGAGGCCATTGACCAATGCTAGTCTCGAATTTTCATTTTTTAAGATGTTGTCTTCTCTTTCTTTTTCTTTTGCGTAGTAGTTAAGCAGTTAATTAATAATTAATAACGTCCCACCCCGACCATCATTGCGCCAATCCGTAATACGTTATTTTATTATTTTTTTTTTTTTTCGATAATTTTTCTAACACAATGGCATACTTAACATTATAACCATTTTTTTGTCCCCTCACGTTTCGTTAAGTCACATTCACCCCAAACATCTCACACTGGGTCGCTAATCGCAGCGACGTAACAATTTATTTTTGTTTTTCGTGTCTCTTTTAACTAATCGGTCAATGCGACGCGCATGTATAGTAACGAACATCCTATAGCGACATTGTAACGAACGTCACACGCTTGAGCTGAGCACTAGTCTTCTGTAAGCTAAACGCATTATGTCGAATCCGAAATCTGCAATCGTTAGTTATGTTTTCCGTCTAAAGTCGAATCACGAGGTTCAAAGAGTGCACAAGTAGTGTAGTGTTTAGGGTCGGTTAAAAAAAAAAAAAAAAAAAAAAAAAAATTCATCACGGAAAAATTGGCAAGGTTAAAGTGCAGTTGAAAAAAATATGTAAGAGCGCGCGAAGCGAACGCATTTTCTAAGGGAATCGTTTTAAATTGATGTCATCACAAAACCTCGTTGTATAAGTACTCTGCTTGATGTTTATTCATGTAAATAGTTGTACCGATTGTATTTTATTGAGCTCCTATACTTTTATTACAATCTCCCGACATTAAGAGAGAAGTATGTATTTTTAAAAATAGCCGTTGTTATAAATTGTTACAGTGTAATAATTCTTGTTAAAAAAAAAAAAAAAAAAATTTTTCAATTTCGATGATCCCAAATTGAGCCTTATTTCGCTCTATCTCCATTATTTACGGAGATACGGCCGTTTCAAGTTTTGGCTATTTTTTAAAACCAAAATTACAGATTTCAAGCGTTATTACGGGTTAGTGTATATCTGCTATGATGTTCTAGGCTGCCTGGTATTTTGTTTGCTACGATTCTATTATTTTCGAGTAGTTTGAACAGCCTCAATAAAACAAAAAAAAAAAAAATTTTTTAATTCTGATGATTCCAAATTAAGGCTCATTTTTCTCTATCTCCATTATTCACGGAGATACGGCCGTTTTAAGTTTTGGCCATTTTTAAAAACCGAAGTTACAGATTTTAAGCTTAATCACGGGTNTGCACTTTCAAGTTTTTCAGTCAAAAGACCCTCGTGAGACAAACTGTTCCCAAGCTCCGAAAGGTCAACCCGAGCTTTAATATCACTGAGGTCCACCCATCATGTTCATTGGTGGCATCGGCTGGGTCCTGTAAGGCGGTCCTTGGGGCGGCCCTTGTGCCCCGGGCATCATCTGCTGCATGCCTGGCGTGAAAGTAATGTAAATACCATAGAAAATATATATATATATATTAATGTCGCTATCATTAAAACTTATATAAATTGAATTATCAATTAACCTGTAACTCTTACCTTGCTAAACATAGGATCAAATTGCCCAGTCAGTGGATATGGTGCACATAGCTCCAGATCAAGTTATATTTTGTAACATGATTTAATAATTTGAGATCAATAAATAATTCAATACTAATTAAATAACCTTATTGTCTTTATTTTGTAAAAACAAAAATATTTTTTTTCCCCAATTGTACACACACCTCAACTTGAACTATCCATCTTGTCCACACAACACACAGTTGTTCCTAATAGAATTAATATAATTCCGAGGTATGTATCTGCAAGTAAAATAGATTATATAAACATATCATCATAAATTTAAGTTATTTGAATATTTAAATAACGTTCTGTTCCGAATTTATTTCATGTTTGCATTGAATGATTTAATGATCAAATACATATTAAATATTTACGCATTTTTTTTTTATGGCTAGCATAATATTCTATTGGGTGAATTATCAATTTTTAGCAAGGTGCGGCCTTAATTTCACCAGTTCGTTAAACGAATTTAATTTGAGAAAAATTAATACAATAGTAGTAGTAAAAAATTAACTTGGCGTTGATAAAAAAACGTACTCATGACCTACACTTTCTAGAATACGTACTTTTGAATGAGACAGTCAATCAAATATAGTTATGTTCTTGCTAAAATAATCTTGCCAAAAAAAAAGTTTTAAGTGAAAAACTTACTTCTGTGAACTTTTTTTTCTCCCAAAAATATACCAGTCAAAGCTGTAATAGCAAAAGTCAAGGAATTTGCAACAACGACTGTTAAAGACAAGTCAGTTTGTTGAATCACCACGACATATATGAGTGAACCACATTGGTTGATCAAAAAGGGTATCATGTACTGAAATTTTTTTTTTTCATCATTAGTTTTATTGAAAAATTTTTAAAAATGTAGGCTACTACTGCATTATAAATTACCTTGAAATTTCTGACAAGAAAAACGACGTCATTTAAAAACTGACTTGTGATGGAATGTGACTTTATTCTCTCAATTCCCTGAGCACCTTTTTTCATGAGAGGATTGGTGACACCCCATAAAAAAGAAACTGTTGCAAGTCCTAGGACAGCTTCTACAATACAATTTTCAAACATTTATACACGAGACTACTAACCTATATGTTGCGAAATATTTGTATGCGATGTAAAATTCACGAACTGTTATCGAAAAAGAGGGCTTTTCCTGCTCAGATGGAATCATTTGTGTGGATCTAACAAAGGATGCTGTTTATTTATCACCAATTTACCTAGAGTCAAAGCCATAGCTAAAGATCTTGATGAATGTAGTTGCCTTAATGACTTCCTTGGATAGACTATACGCAGTCGTTACAGATCATCACTTTAACATTTTTATAACTTAAGTTTGAATAAGTACTGCAACCTCTGCATCTCTGAAACTTAACGCAACTATAATCTCACAAGTCACACGTATAATAGAGAAGTTGTCGTCTGCTGCAACATGCCTGTTGCATTACACACAGGCACACACACACACACACACACACACACACACACTAAATACTCAAAGTATGAGGATATTATTTTTCCATATTAATTTCTGAAAATGTAAAACATTCAAAAACAATTTGCTGTAAAATTCGTGTATTTCATTATTTACATAAATATATAAGCACAAAATACATGTCCCTAAATTTCGATGATAAATTATTCTTATTTTTTTTTTCTCAAACTAAATCAATTTACAGAATTTTTTGAAATTAGTAAATTGATCAACATAATAAATTATTTACAATACTGAATATGAAGTATTTATTAGTTTTGCTTCACTTCTATTAATTTTCTTTTAATTATATTTCAGTTTTTAAAGTTCTCGCAACATATTCATATTTGAATAAAATCTGATTTTCAAATAATTCATGTTGCTGAAAATTCAGTACACTGCTTGCATTCAAACTACGCTTGAAACTACAGTTTGTATCAAAATTGTTTAATGTATACAATCATGGGTATTGTTGATATTTTGTCAATCATTAGATACAACCAGAGAATAGAATATAGTTTTTCCTCTTCTTGTTTCCTCCAATTTCTTACAGTGTCGTAGAGCTACAAGTAAATTTAATTTTGACTTATCAAGCTTAGTTTTAAAAGTCCTCTCATAATCTGCTGCCGTGAAAAAGTAAGATTTCTCTAAAATGAATCATACAATTATACAGTATATAGAAATAGCTACTTGTTGAAGACAATATTTAGATGTAAATTACCTTTATCTGCGCCAAGACTATCCTGTTCCATTTTGTGCTGTACGAATAAATCTACTTCAGCCTTTTTTTTTCCACTCTTGCCCATAGCCAGAAGTAAATATTTACTTTTAATGATTTGATTAATACTCGACACTAGACTGTTAAGTGCTTCAAGAGTCTGTCTTGTTATTATGTACTTTGGTATTTTGACGAATTCTTCCTGTGTGATGGACCGTATCTGAGGCACATCTGGTTCGTTAAATAAAACTTTTTTGCAGTTTTTCATGTTAGTTATCGAATGATTCCCATTGGTAGCGCTAAGATTACGTTCAACGGTTTTGGTTGGAGAAACTTGAAACTTTTCTTTACTTTTTGGCAGGCTTTTAGTCTTTACAGGAAGTTCAGAGTTCACATACTCTTTTATCTTTGCAGGGATATTTTCTCCCATGTGTTGAATTTGACGTTCTAATTTTTTTAGTGCAATTGACAGCTTCTAGACACAATAAAAAAAAAAGTTTGTTAACAATATTCACGTTTGTAAATGTAATTCAAGTCAATAAGAATACAACAATATTACCTCGCAGCCATCATTTTCAAGTTTCATCAGCTTTATTTCTTCTTTTAAATCTTGAATCCCTTTGCTAACACAGACTACTTCTGAGTAAGCATTGAGAAGCTCTTCGTGTATGGCATTTTTGTCTGAAGTAAAACAATAAAGAATTATGTAAATTTTTTACGTATTTAGAAATACACAAGTCAAATTTCATCAAACTTACTTCTCACTATATCTGTAGCTGTCTCAAGGTCTTGAAGTTTCTGAGTTTGAACCAATAATACGTTTTCCAAACTTTGATAAGCTGACATGTTTTATTATTCGTTTGTTACTGTGCTTTTTGAAAAACCAAAATAATACAAGTAGTGGTCGTAGAAAATACTGAATTTTTTATTTTGCTAAGCTATTAAACTATTTCATTGCCGATGTATTCAAAATTTCAAACCATATTGAGGTTATGTTGATCTCGAGAAAACATCGCTCATATTGAGCAAAAACACATTAAGCATTAATATTTCTTAAAATATAATACAGCTCTGAAAACTACGTTCAAAATGAGAGGACCACCAAAAATTTTAATCCACATTCTTGTATATCATTTTGTTACAACAAACATTGCGAATTCAAACTTTTAAATTTCACGGTTATACGCTATACGCTACCGATTTACGATGCTAGCTGCGCACGCATACTCTGTGCGATTTCCGATATTCCGATTACCATTTAGAATCTAATTATCGATTCATCGATCTTTCCGATTCAAGAGTAGAGCGTTGTTATTTTTTATTTATAGAAAAATATCAATGCAAGTAATACGATGTAAATAAAAATTATCCTTCGTAGACATTTATGGGCAAATAATAAATAAAGTAAGGAAGAAAAGCATTCATTTGATTCAAATTAGGTTTTACTTAGATTATTGTTCAGCTTATTTACAGTCTTTATATAATCTTAATGAATAAACTTATTTTACTGAAAAATGTAATCATACATGATGCTATGAATTTCAGTATTAGTTTATACAGTTTTATGCAACTCAGAATCACAGCACAAACTGTTTTCAACACACACTCACACTAATGTACCACCATCTCCAACAGTTAAATCATACACATTGGAAGTCTAAAAATACTCTTGCAATAAAATCCAAATGAACCAATAAGAGTTGAAAAAGTGTTTATACAAAAGTCTTGCACTTTCAAGTTTTTCAGTCAAAAGACCCTCGTGAGACAAACTGTTCCCAAGCTCCGAAAGGTCAACCCGAGCTTTAATATCACTGAGGTCCACCCATCATGTTCATTGGTGGCATCGGCTGGGTCCTGTAAGGCGGTCCTTGGGGCGGCCCTTGTGCCCCGGGCATCATCTGCTGCATGCCTGGCGGCCCCGTCATCTGTGGCTGTCCGGGTGGCACGACTTGCTGGGGACCCTGCATCGGTGAAGGCACCCCAAGAGCCACAGCCTCCGAGGGTAAAGTCAGGTTCAGCAGAAGGTTGCGCACCGCAGGGAAGACGGAGCACTCCTGCTGGCCGTTGGCCGCGTGGTACTCGGCGAAGCGCTTGAGCTGGTGGATGACGGTGGCGAGGGCCGAGCCCGGGGCCGTGTCGCGCTCGTTGGCCAGGCTGGTCATGTTGGTGCGAGCGTCGTAGATGAAAGGCAGAACGAGCGAGGGCGGCTCCTCGTCATCCCGACAAGGTATCCCGAGACGCGTCAGGGTCAAGAAAAAGAGGATCTTGAGCTTGTGCTGCATGATGCCGGGTAAGCCGATCTGGACGACGGGCATGGCCGTGGGCGGAGCCCTCAGGCAGTACTGGACCGACCACTTGCACTGCTGCTGCTGCTGGAGCAGACCTGGTACGAGCTCGAGCCGCATTATCTGGACAAAGTCCTTCAGGACGTTGAGCGGCAGGTTGAGTAGGTTCACGAAGGCCAACAGGCTGTTGGGCTTGTAGGGTGGAGCGACGACACGCTGCTCGAAGAAGCGCTCGAGTAGCTGGAGTTCTTCGAGGTTCCACTGCTTGTTGTGCTCGGGAAGCGGCTGGAGCTTCATGTGCAGTGACTGCATGTGTTGGAGATTCAGGGAGACGCGGCACTGAAGCGTGTCGGCTTTAAAGTGGATGACACCGGGCTCGATGCTGCCGAGGGTCACGAGGTTCTCGTGCGATTGGATGAAGCGCTGCAGCTGTCGGCGCATATACACGCAGCCAAGGAAGCGCTCGAGCGGCGACAGGTCGGGCCCCGGTAGCCCACTCGGGTGCTTGGACGCCGAGCACAGCAGGTCCAAAGTCTCGCAGGTCAGCAGGGTAGGAATGGCCCCGGCCCACGAGCGCTGCGGCAAAACGCGGGACACGCTCGGCACACAACCTCCGGACTGCTGCTGGCCCATGGGTTGCTGAGGGCTGTGAAGGGGCACGTGGCCAGGGCTCTGACCGGGCCTGACGGGTGAAGGCCGCGAGATGCTCGGCGAGCCCGCCCAGTTGGAGGCTGCCGGTGAGGCCATGCTCTGGGACGACGGGAAAGGGCTGCCGTCAAGGCCGTGGGGGCCGGTCTGCATGTAACTACCAGCTGGCGAGTGGCCAACCTGGCTAGCGCAAGGTCCGGGCGAGGAGGTGGGCATCAGGCCTGCAGGACTCGGGGCGTGCATCAGCGGACTCGCCACCAAGCCCGAGCCGGGCGATGGGTGGGGCAATACGTTGGGCGTGTTGGGCGTCAGTGAAGGCGGCGAGGCCAAGTTCAGCGACATCCCGGGACTGTTTCCATACGGGTGTTGGCTTGATCCTGGACCGGATTGCTGTTGGCCAGCCATGTGGGGGCTTGCCGGCGTGTTGGGGTTACTACCCGAGGGTGGAGTCAACGGCGGTGGATGGAAACGCTGCTGGGCAGCCGGTGACTGAGGTCCCCGTGGTCCCATGAAGCCCATGCTGGCAGCCGAGCCGGGCCCTGATGCCCCGTTGGATCCATCGGCGCCAGAGCCACCAGCACCGCCAGAGTCACCCACCGTGACGGGTGAGGGCGGATTATCGTCCTCGGATTGCGAGCGGCGTCTGTAAATGGCACTCTTGTCCACGTACTGCGAGAGAAAAGTGCTGAGGCCCTGGATGGGCGTGAAGCCCTCGACGACGTTGCTATGGTCGAAGCGGCTATAGGCACCATCGCGCAAGCTGACGAGACCAGCGCCCCGGAAGCACAACTCCAGACAATAGATGTTCTGGTAGGCGATGCGCATGAGAGTGACGCATTGGGGCATCACGATGAATGTCTGGGCGGGAATCTGGGCCTTCTTCTCGCAGAGGCCGAGCTGCAGTAGAATAGGAAGCTTGCAGACAGAGGTCAAGGGCTGGAGGGTCTCGGCGAGGACGTGAATCAACTGGGCGAGGCTACGCTCGCGGTTGAGAGCCGCCTCGAGTTGTTCCTTAAGGAGGGCGTGCGCGTTATCGGTCGTGCTCGCCGGGCTCTTGCCGAAGAAGAGCCGGAAGGCCTGGGCCGAGGGATCCCAGAGCACGGTGGCCGTGGCTCGCCGGTGGGGCCCATACGCCAATACGAGCCTGCTGTAATTGTACGACTTGACGCTGTAGAGGTTGCGTAGTCCAGCTGCCTGTTGCTCGGCCAGGTCGTGCACGAGGGCGAAGAGGTTGACGATCTGGGCCCAATCGCTGAGCAGCGAGCTGACCAGCTGGGACGTAGAGTCCGAGGGGCCCATATCGTACGGGAAGTAGACGGGCCGGCGTAAGCCCTGCTCCTTCGGGTGGCTGCTCAACAGGGGACTACCGTAAAAGAGGAACTCGACGAGCCAGCTCTTTCCCGAGCCTCGACCCTGGACGCGCAACGCCACGCTGAGCAGACGTTTCAGCAGGGCTGCCCAAGCTGCCGGCGAGGCTAGGCTTGCCGTGGGCGCGGGCAGCTGCACGAGCTTGAGGACGAGGGCCGCTGCGTTAGCTTCGATTTGCACACCTTGATGGGCGATCTCGCGTTTGCTCAGCTCCTGGGCGAGCATGACGAAGGGCACCTGCTCGTCGCACAGCGCAACTACGTGCGCCAGCTCGGGGATGAAGTAAGCCGGGGACTTGGGTCGCTTACCACCGCTGCCGGAGCCGCCTACAGCTTCGTTCGGTCGCGTCGTAAGTCCAGCACTGCGCCGCTTCTTGCTGGTGGCTCGCTCGCCGTTACCACCGACTTCTGAAACACTGCCAGTGCCAACGCTCGCCTCTGATCCGGCTGTGAGCTCGGTCTCCGCGCAGTCGATGCTCGTAAAGGAGCCATGGGTCACGACGAAAGTGTCGAACTCGATGAGGCTCTCGAGGCGCAGATAAGCGTTGTAGTGGTGCTGTTGTTGCTGCGGCTGGTGGTGCTGAGGCTGCTGTTGATGCTGCTGTTGTTGTTGAGGTTGTTGTTGTTGATGCATCAGTTGGTGATGGGGAGACTGGTGATGATGACCAAGGTGCTGGTGCATGTTATGGCTCTTGGAGTCGGTGCCGTCGTCGTGAGCTGACGTATTCGAACCTGCGAGGTCGGAATCGGGCCGCACCGCGCACAGGTAGAAGGAGCACTGGATCTCGCAGGGCGCGGTCTCGCTCTCGCGGAAGGCCACGACGAGAATGACACCTGGATGCCGGTGGAACTGCACGTATATCCGGTGCTTGCCAACTCCTGCGATCGGGTGATCCGGTGGATAGATGAGTGGCAGTCGCTCGTGCGGCGTAGCCGGCAGGTGCTGAAGGGTCTTCTCGCAGCGTTTCTGCGTTATCCAGAAGCGCAGCTCGGATATGAGAGCCGGTAGCCGAGAGTGGTCTTCGTTAAGGGCGGCCGTGAGCTCGGGCACGAGCGGCGCTTCGTATTGGGGTATGTGGCAAAGCAGCATGCCACTGTGCGTGTCGACGGCGATAAGCAACAGCTCGGCCCGAAGACAAGGTTGGAGCACTGGTACGGAGAGGATGGCCGGCGAGCCAGCCAGGGTGCACTCGATGCCCTTGAACATGGCCTGGAGCTCCTGCTTGAGGTCGCTTAACCGGTTCCGTGTCCTTATGTAGATCGTGTGCACAAGTAGAAACTCCATCGAGAGTTGGCTCGAGCGGATCGCTACGTCGGAGATCTCGAGCTCCTTGTTGGCCAGCGATGGCGTGTGAACGATGGCCAATGGTTTGGCTGGGTCGTGCTGGTCCACCAGCACGCTGAGTTTGTAGCCAAGTTCCGAGCCTGAGTCTTTGTTCGTCAGCTCCTTCCAGTAGGATATGGTCAGGCACTCTCCAGGCGTGTATCTATCGATGCGGATGTGGTCATCCAGACGGTCCCTAATCAGGCGTAGGGTCTGCGAGTACAAGACCTCGAGCTGCAGAGACTGGCAGAAGTAGTGCAGGGTGTGGTAGACTTCGGAGAGAGGGTCCAAGGTGTCGACGAGCCGCTCCTGAACGAGCTGGTGTATGTATTGTGTTTGCATGGGGTGCACTAGCGACTTGCCGTCGCCCGTCTCCCTGTCAGAGACTAGAATTTCCAGGTCCAGCAGCCTCCAGGGAACATTTGGCCCGTCCCCCATCACGGTCAAAGAGACTGAAAACTCCTGCTCCACGCGGAATGTCACTCTTCCTGCTTCGATTTCCAAGTTTTTCATCTGGGGTAGCAGATTCCCGGTGACTAATCTATGCTGGATGACTTGGTTCAATCTTTGTAACGTGCTTTTCTTCTCCGACACGGTTATAGGGTCTGGTGGAACGATTTTTTCCCTGATGCACGCCGGTAGACGATTGTAGCTTCCAGTGGTCAGTACTTCAACGGCAGCAGGCAAATGGAAATTCGGTAGTCTAGCGTGAACCAAGGTCTCGCGAGCCATTCTCGCCAGGATGTCAGCAGTGTCGACGAACAGCAAGGACTGCTTGTCAAGGAAGGCCATTATGTGAGCTGACTTTTCAACTTTTGTGGCACTGCTCGCCCACTTTACCAGAGCCAACAGTCGCACAAACAGCTGGCGCGTTCTGGCAGAGAAGTTATATATTTCGATTTTTCGCTCCATGTCGGTTTTTCTGGGTAGCAACTCGGCAAGAACTGTGAGCTCGTGGTAGGTTCTCTGGATGATGAAATCTATAAGAAGTCCGAGAGATATAGAGCCTCCACGATTTCCCTCCTGTGGCATGTTGGTCACAGGTGTTTGGTGACCCTCTAATGGGACTGGAGCCATTTTTATGAGATTTCAACTCTTGTTCACAAATAATTCTTAACTGAATGTATCAAGCCATCTGGAATTAAAATAATATTCATGTTACGGGACGTACGATGAAGCTATAGTTTTACACTATTAAAATACCGATTTTGTTACAAAAATACCTAATGGTATTCTGCATGGCGTAGACTCAACAAAAAAAATTATTGGTATATGTTGACGAAGTATATGATGTCAAAGGTGCAGGATAGTAACAAAATTGCGGAATCAACATATTTGGTCAATTTTGCGATAACAATTTTGATACCATTGATAAATACGAGAATTAGTGACACATTTAAGATAATTTATGGATACTCTACAATTTATTGTATATTGAATTAAATAGTACAATATACAAAATCCAAAAGTAAAATTTGAGGTTAATCGTTCTCTAGCATAAAAAAATTTTTATTTTTTAGTTTTGAAAATAAGCTTTATTAAGACCTTAAAGGCTTTTATAGCTAAGCATAAAAAAAAAATAACACCAACATGCAGAAGTTATTCCAAGTTTATTCTATATACAATACATTACGAAAATTATGAGCTACCGATATTTATGTGCACGTTTCTTTGATCATTGAGTACTAAACAAAATAAACAACATTAGTAAAAATAGTCTTCATACCATGAAAAAAAAAACCACCAACTTGATTAAATTGATGAATAGTAAAAAAAAAAAAAAAATCATTAGTAAACACATGTTGCAAAAAAATTAATAAATTTTGAGAGTCGAAGCAAGCTTTATAATACATCTTAGTGCTGGGCATGTAAATACGTTGGCAAAGTTTACCTTCGAAGCAAGAGTCAAATTTTTAATAACTTTTGTAAACACTGAGTCATATTGCACACCACACCTTTAGTTGTTCGTTTGCACTAAGATAACCCTGATGCTGTCAAAGCAAAAAATAGCAACTGCACCATATACAAATAGAGCTGTTTACAATTTACAATCACTAAATAGCCATCATAATTATGATTATCTTAATCGCTGTGTCTATTCGCACCAAATCTACGTAAAATTACGTGGAAATAAGGTTAGGAATTTTAAAGAAAACGCTGTGTCTATTCGCTGTCTCTAATTGCTTGATAACGTTTTGTTGACAAAAGTCCTGACCCAAACTAATGGAACACCCGTACCTTATTTACACTTCACAGTCTCTTTTTTCATAGGTGCGTGTTTCGCAAACGCTGCCATCATTTGCCATCAGCCATCAGTCAGGTTAGTCATCAGGTAACGAGCCAACGAGGTAACGGTAACCGTCATAGATGTACGGAATACAGTCATAGACCCTCCGCTAGGAAAACTTACTAAGCTAGGGAACTTCTTTCAAAAGAAATATGGTACTTTTTTAGTTTGAAATTAGCCTCGCTAGATCGCGCTGATTGTAAATTGTATGTTTTTTAATTAATAATTTTTAGCGAATCATTCATCGCTTGCGGTCTCCTACGCGACTCATCTATACACCTATGCTTATCTCGTCCTTGATTGCTCCGTTTTTCCGAGGTTTTACTTTTTTTTTTTTCCTAATTTACAACACAACACCGCCATGCATGGTCCTTCCGTAAAAGAATAAAAGATACATGAGTCAACGCACGTTCCTTCCTAAGAGTCCATCCGAGGATTCTAAGGAGATTAGGGACGAACGTCAACGACCAAGTCCCTTGCAGTTCGTGACAGAGTCAGGGCGGGAGAGCTTATGAGGCTGCGATAGTGTATAGACTGTAGTGCGAGGAAGAGCTAGGCAGCCTGGCCAGATGAAGGTAAGCAGCTGATTAGCTAACTCGAACAATTTCTACCTAGTGTTTTTTCCCAGAATAAGAGCCGTGAACCAACCTAAAGATGTGCTCTGATAAACTACATTGAATATACCTACATACATTGAAATAGCAACGGGGAAGACGCTCCTCCTTGCGCGTGTATATATGCTTCTTAAGTAAACATATATATATACGTACATTTTTGTTGCGTTTTCAAAAGCCGCTCATCTCATCTAGCTTTTTCGTCTAGGTATAGGTACTTATACATGGGTGTACAGAAGTGTTGTAGGTACATGCACCGATGCACGTAAGAAGAACCGTCCGTTCCCTCCACTCTCCGCATCATCCATCTCACTTTCGTTCGTTTCGTCCGTTTTATGGCTTTATTTATTGATGGTTGTTCGCTGTCCTTCCAGGAGAGATAGGTAATCCATGTGCACCTGCTTTGTAATATGCTGTATAGTCTGCAGTACTCAGTCCTCCAGATAGTGATGTGCTTGTGCTCTTTCTTTCTCTTTACCAATACTTGTGTGTATTACAACCTGCATCTCTATGGTTGTTTCGAGAGAGCTCCACTACATGTCATGGCCTGCAGTAGTACAATTTACAGTGCCTGCAATAGTATCTACAACATTTATGCTCTGTTTTTTGCTATCAGGTACTCATCTATGATTTTATTTCATTTATTTATTTCATCCTCGATACTTGGCATTCTTTGAAAGCCACAGATTCCAGGCTAGATCATATATGTCTCTTGCAACACACACTACTAATAGTGCAAGCCAGACGTATACTGTATACTTATACTTACCTTTCTTCTTTTTCTAAGAAACTAGGAATCCATACTTATATTGCTTCTGCACAGTTGCACACTTTCCCAACTTGCTGTATATATAGGTATCTCCCATACAAAGGTAGAGTGAATCTATCCTCTCTGTTCTGCTTGAACAGATCAGGTACATGAGACTGCACAAGTATTTTTCATATTATTGTTGTACTTAGTTTGAAAATTGATTTTTACTTTATTGTTTGATTAACCTGTTTTAAAATGTTCCTTCATCTGATCGACCTTTTCTGGTTTCTAATAATATGTTTAGCATTATGACTTGCTCTATGCCATATATGTTTCCAAGTTTTTTTGTAAAATATTATAAGGCTAAGTATTTTAAGATGCTCATTGTTTTGATAATACTCTTGCGTCAGAAAAACTGCATTGCTTTTTTTTTCACCTTAATGTTTCCTCTTTACTGTTTCATAGTTATGAGATAAATATATCTTGCAACCGATATACATTTATGTTGGTGTTGAGAATTCACCTATTTATTATTATTTTATTTTTTTCAGATCATGACAGATGATGATGCCCTGGATACTATGGACACAGAAGATACAGAAGAAGAAATTTATTCTCGCAAAGTAAACGATTTGAAAGCACACAACAACAACAGCCCAGAAGTCGATCAAAATGGTTCACTGGTGCGGCGCAGTACAAGACATAAATCACAAACCTATGATAATCTTAACCAAAGTTGGATTTTCGGTAAAATATAAAATTTTTAGATCCAATATTCAGTGTTCGAGCAAACATATGACTTTCAAAACTGTTAATTGTATTCCAGGAACGCAAACTTTGAAAGGATATCCAACGTATAACAAACACGACTCTTCATCAGATAAAGAAATGGCCGATGAAGCTCCTTCAATAACGAGAAGATTGAGGAGAAGGCAGCTGCCGCTGAAGTCTTCTTGCAAAAACTCATCGAGGCATTTGCGAACCCTCGACAGCCACAGCTCGAGCAGGGGGCTTCGGGGTAGACCATCCCGGAGGAGCGTACGCAACATCGAGGAAATGCCGGACCGAGAGCGAGGCATGCGCGAACCGCGAAAGATCAGCGAGCTGCGCAGCCTCCGTAGTAGGTCAGATTACGAGCATGAGCTCAAAAATGGTCCACAGCTAAGAGTCAGAGATAAAACTGAGCGCTTCAAGATTGAGCCCAAGGATAAGACCGCCAATGAGGAGAGAGAGTCGAAGCCGGTGAAGATGGAAAGCCCTTGTCGATCAAGGGATGGACCTGTTACCAGATTTAGCAATAGCCATGCCGGGAAAAACGATAAACCAAAGTTGGATGAAAAAGAGCGCAACAACGACAATGACGTTGACAACGAGGACGACGACGACGATAATTCTCCAGAGAGTGAAAAGGCTGAAAATAATGATAATTCAGACAATGATGAGAACGAAGTAAGTATGATTTTTATATCTTGATTAGATGTCTTGCTGATAAGTTCCAAACTTATTTTGCCTTTATTGTACATAGGGGTACGAGGATATGTACACCAGAGTCAAAAGAACCAGAAGAGTTTCTCAAAGGCAATTACAGAAACGTCAACTTGCAGGTATACACTTAATATTTAAAATATACAATAAAATTTTCCATTTCCAGTACAAATTGATGTTACATTTTACAGAAGACAGTGATTTAAGCGACTCATCCGATGGCACCCCAAGTCCACGTAAATACAGTTTAAGGCAAAAGAAGCCTGTGGTAGACAGATTCCAAATAAATGCGGAGCAACCGAGGAGATCCATGAGGGTCTTTAGAACCGTTTTTAGCAATTCCATCAGGAGACGGAAACGCAGGAGTGAAAGCTCCAGCAGTAGCGACTCGTGTGATTCTGAACCACAACGTTACGAGAAAAAAAGTAAAAAGTCGAGGTATAAAGCGGAAACAATAAAATTTCTCTCTTTTGGTTCAACAAAGTTCAACTAAGTTGAAAATTCTTTCTTGATACGTAGGCAATCTGCAATACCTCAAGGAGGATCAACTGATCAAAGGGCAGACATAAGTCCAATCTCGGTGGACACCAGCATCACTTTCAACGACGTCGGTGGATTGGAGTCGCATATACACTGTCTTAAGGAGATGGTTGTTTTCCCCATGGTTTATCCAGAAGTTTTTGATCGTTTTCACTTGACTCCTCCAAAGGGAGTTTTGTTCCATGGACCACCAGGCACAGGTAAAACCTTGCTAGCAAGAGCGTTGGCGAACGAGTGCAGTAAGGGAAGCAGAAAAGTCTCGTTTTTCATGCGCAAGGGAGCAGACTGTTTAACCAAGTGGGTCGGTGAATCTGAACGTCAGCTGAGGTTACTCTTTGAGCAAGCCCAGCAAATGAAACCTTCGATTATATTTTTTGACGAAATTGATGGCCTAGCCCCAGTACGAAGCACTAAGCAAGACCAAATCCATGCGAGCATCGTGTCGACTCTCCTTGCCTTGATGGATGGTCTTAGCGACCGTGGCGAGGTGATTCTCATCGGAGCAACCAACCGGATAGACGCTATCGACCCCGCTCTCAGAAGACCCGGTCGCTTTGATCGCGAACTATTTTTCCCTCTTCCAGCTGCAAAAGAAAGACTAGAAATTATGAAGATCCACGTGAACAAGTGGAGCAATCCACCTGCGGACTATCTGCTAGAATCTTTGGCTGAAAAAGCAACTGGCTACTGTGGCTCCGATTTAAAAGCGCTCTGCACCGAAGCTGTGATTCAAAGTTTGAAGAGAACGTACCCTCAGATTTACAAGACCAACAATCGTTTACTTTTGAGTCCAGAAAGGGTGGAAGTGAAAAAGTTGGATTTTACGCGAGCCAGTATGTTGCTGGTTCCAGCGTCTCATCGAGTGACTTCTTGCGTTGGTCGAAGGCTGGAATCGTTTGTAGAGCCTCTTCTGGAGTCTTCGTTGCAGGAACTACTTTCGAGAATAAGGAAAATTTTTCCACAAGGCACCAACCATGAACTGGCCAAGTATGTACTTATAGCTACAGACATGCCTTATGAAAAATGTTGAATTTTCTTTTCTAACTGCTCTTGTTCTCACTCATTTGCACAGACTGAAAGTGACAAAGGGGGTTCATCGTCCACGACTTTTGATATCTGGAGGCGACATGGCGAGAAATCAAGCAACATCACTAGCAAAGGCTGTCATTTTCGACATGGATCATCTTCCCGTGCACACGTTGAACGTCAGTACTCTTTTTGCCGAGAGCGCAAGATCGCCGGAAGAAGCATGCGTCCAGGTAACTGGCAATAATTTACTTTGCATATCTTTTATTAAATGTGATTTTCTAACGCCATGGCATTTTCTTCAGGTTTTCAATGAGGCCACCAGAAATATGCCGTCCATAATTTACATAGCGTCTGTTGATCAGTGGTGGCCCTTAGTACCGGAAACAGTAAAGGCTGTTTTTCTTTGCCGCATTGCATCGCTCGATATGTCCACGCCTATATTGATTCTTGCGACAAGTGAGTTGTCGTACGAAGAATTGCCTGATCAGCTGAAAAATTTGTTTAGCGAACTTTGTGAGGAGATACATTCGATCGAGGCCCCAACCGAGGAGGAAAGAACCAAATTTTTCAAGCCATTATTCATGGTTCAGAGCTTACGAGTGCCACAAACCAAGAAAAAGAGAGATGAGGTATTGGAAGAATTGCCACTGGCTCCCGATCCAGAACCAAAGAAACTCACAGACGAAGAGAAAAGAGTTATCCATGAAAAGGAAGAAATATCCTTGAGAGAGCTGAGAATATTTTTGCGAGAGATTTGTGCCAAACTTGCGAGAAACCGACAGTCAGTATTTGCAGTGTTTCAAACATTTTTGTTTATCTGTTGAGTTTTCCATGCTGAGTTTAATCGTGCGTTGAATTGTGATTAGATTTTTCATGTTTACCAAACCCGTGGACACAGAAGAAGTTCCAGATTACAATAAAATCATTGTCCAGCCCATGGATTTGGAGACAATGATGACTAAAATTGACATGCATTGCTATCTGTGTGCTCGAGATTTTCTAGATGACATTGATCTTATTTGCCGTAATGCCTTGGAATACAATCCAGACAGGTAAAAATATTTGATTTTAAAAAATTTGTATTTACATACAGATAAATTCTGTAAATACTCGTTTGAAAAAAAAAAAAAAAAATACACACACACATAAAACAATCACTTTATATAGTTTTATTTGTTTTTGCTCATTTGTATTTTTTCACAAGACTTGATTCACAAACATTTCAGTGCACAGTTTGTTTTAAGACGTAGGATTTATGTAAAATTACGATTTGCAGTGAGTTTGGTTTTTGAGTGCTTTATAAATTGAAAATAATTACATGCTTTTATTTTTCTATTTGACAAACACGTAAGAGAATGCCAGACTTTTTATTTTCAACCTTCCTGATTGTTATTTCTCTCAACAAAAAATTATTCTTTCACTCACTTTTTAAACATCATAGCATCACATAATATCACCATAAACTAAGGAGTTCACGTCATGTTTGTACTGATATTTATGTTGTATTTTCATCTCAGCTTACGTGATAGGCCTTTCTTCGGATTATTCAAGAGGTAGTTGAGTCTTTTTTGTTTATCCATTGTCGTTGTGATTATTATTATTGTTATTGTTGTTATTGTTGTTGTTTTTATCGTTGTTGCCCTGTAGAAATCCAGTGGTTTTCAATGATTTTTAAAATATTTCTCAAGCAGCAGGGGGTTGCCATTCCCCAATTAATCATTATCCCAATTATTTGTCCATGATTTTTCAAAGCTATCGTGAAATATTTAAAATACCCCATACTGATAGATAAAACGTTTATTGAAGACCACATGACGTAAATAGCCGCTCGCTTGACAATAGTGTCTCTTTTACATACATCAAAGGGCCATAAAATTGATCATTTTTGCAGAGATCCAGCCGACAAGTTGATTCGACATCGAGCTTGTTCCCTTCGAGATAACGCCTACGCTCTCATAAAAGCTGAATTGGATTCTGACTTTGAAGACAAGTGTAGAAAAATATCGACCAACCGCAAGACTCATCTGGAGGGTGATAGCAAGAAAAAGGAAAGTCCAAAATCAACCGTGGCTCAAACCAACGATAGGTCAGATAAAAAGGACAGTGGCATAGGCAATAATAGTATCGTGGTGAATGGCAAGAAGTTGCCAAGCTCTCGCAAGCGCAGGGGGATGTGGGCACGCGGCTACGTCAAGAAGATCAAGAAAAAGAAGATCTCCTTTGAAGACAGTAGCGTGCACAATAGCGAAGCGGCTGACAAGTCCGAGCCTGGTGACCACGACAAGTCACAGGAGCTCGAAGTCGAGGAGCACGGGGAGGTAATGAACGGCCACATGCCCGCTGATGACAACACAGACACAGACTCCCTGAATGAATTGTCGAAAGAAACGCCGCCAACTACCAGCGAAACCGAGGCTGTCACAGACCAGGTCGACAAGACGGTGCCCGAGCCGAAAAGCCAGAACGAGCTGGAGAGCATGGAAGTGTCGCCTGGAGAAGACGACAAGCCAAGGGAGCGCAGCGAGTCGCGCGCATCCTCGACGCACGCCAGCCTCAGTGCCAAGGATCTGTCTTTTACTCTCGACGATCTCGAAGATAGTGATTCTAGTCTTGCCATTAATCTCGAGGAGAGTGACAAAATATTAGTTGATAGAGCGGAACTTGAGCAGGTGTTTACTTACACCGTGCAGGCCACCAAGAACTTTTCTATCGAATCGCTGTGCGACGTTCATGTCCGATTGAGTAGACGCATTGCTCTGTACTCTCGAACGTATGATAGAAAATCACTGCCAAAGGTAATTATAGCTTGATTTGCCGAAATCGAAATCTGATGTATGCCCAAGGTACCGTACATCTGTCGGAAAATATGCCTTATTGATTGCATCATATTAACTAGTTGTTCCAACTGATACAAAGTACCTCGGGTCTCCGTTGGTCATTCAAGCAGACATTCATAGCAAATAATTTGTGTATCTTTGATGACAAGATATTATATTAGATTTTTTAATTTTGTTTCAGGATTTATTGGAAGATGTCAAACGTTTTGAGATACAATAATAATACTACTATCATCTTAAAGGAACCGTTTACAACAGATGAGACGATTATTTTTTAATTTTAATTTCTGTTTAACAATTATCAAATAACAATCTTAAGAGAAGTGTGAGAGATATGTTCTTTCACTCTCAGTTGTAAAATGTTTGATAATTGTTTAAAAAGTTTTTTCACAATTATGACTGCCAAACTTTCTGTGAAATTATAAAACGTCGCTTGAAGCGCGATCGTAATACGAATTTTTTTACATTAGATAAGTATGTGATAAAATTGGTAGAATTTTGTAGCCAATTTTTAGCAAATGATGGCCGAAGCAAGCTTATGTTGCGTTGCACGCAACTATTCAATTGGCTTGGCTCCATTGCATTATCAATTTTGTCGTCGCGTTACTAATACCTAGTTTATTTGTATAGTGACTTTTCACTTTATCGCCATTTTGATAATATTATGCTCGTTGATATTATTTCTTGATTTACTGCAGTAACATAATAATAGGCCTCCCATAAGTTACCTTGTCACAAATAAATTATTACACAAGTTGCAAACAGAAAAAGGAAAAAAAGACGAGAATATTGAATCTAGGATAAATTTGTTACTTTTCGTAAGCAAGTCACTGTTGATAAAAGCCAAGAAATGGCACAGTGTATAAGTAATGTACTTATGTCAAATTTCACATAGCAGCATGTAACCTAGAATCGAAAATTCTCCATTTTCATATGTATAAATTATCATTTTAATTTAATTTTTTGTCAATGAATATCGTGATTTTCTATAAAATTCAGATCAATTTTTCTTTTCTAAGGCAAAGTACGTTAATAAAAATACTCTCAAATTTTTCGTTTACGTGAGTTCGTGTACTTTCCTTAAAGTAGCTGAAATATTTTACCAAAGTATTCTATTTTTTAATAATACAATAATTAAATTAGGTTACAAGGTATGAAACAGTGTTGAAGCTTCAACCGAAGATTTGATCAATTTTTTTTAATGTTATTAGTTACTTATAATTAGCAATACAATAGCATGGATGCAACTCTATGTTTCATGATAGTNGACGGGGTAAAGAAAGAAAAAAAAAAAAAAAAAAAAAATTGCCATAACAAGTTACACATTTTCTTGTAGAATCATTTTGTTGTTAGTATTATTTTATCTTCGTTAGTGATTACTGTTTACCTTATTTATAAGAACTCATTTTCCAACTAGCAGGCATTAAATATAGCTAAAATCGTTGTAATCCAAAATTGGCATATTATACAAGGGATTAACTTTTTAACGCTCACATGGTCAACCAATCGATCAGAAAAAGATTTAATTTTCGAAAGGAAAAAGAAACTGCACATGACATTCCCCAGTTGACATTTTGAGAGGATGAAAATTAAATTCTAGCCGAAAAATCTCACTAATCATGTATGCGTTTTACGCAACCCAAGTAGAATTCTTTATTCGCGATTTTTTAAAAGTTCTGCTTTTTTCGAAAGCGTTTCTTCGTTTGAATAAATATCGATGTCACTTGGCTTGTTTGTCGAATTTATTTTTGACGCAATAAAACATCGTGAATAAAGAAAAGTACCAAAGTCGGATTCACATCATTATTGCACTGCCAAATTAAAAATCTAATGTGTAACCCGTTCAGTAATGCAACGATGTGAGTCTAACTGATTTTTCGCCGAATGTGCGCTGCCAGTCGCTATCTCTCATCGTAATGTTCTATACACTCGAGATTAGTTTTTATAGGAAATAATAACGCGGTCAGGATCACGTTCGATACAACGTTCATTTGTAAATCAACATGTGATTCTTTTTCTCTGACTTGTATACTTGTAAGCGATAGTTTATAAGCTTTTCGTACAAGCAAACAAATTAACAAAAAGTTTAATAAAAAAAAAAAAAAAAAAAAAAAAAATGCAGAGAAAAAATGAAAAACATACACTGCCTTATTTATTTTAACATATGTACGTACATCTTATTGTCATACATTGTCGTGTAATAAATTGAAGTTTCTTAACACGTTGGTTGATTTTCCCTTTGGGCTTAATCCTTTCTAAAAAAAAAAAAATACCCTCATTCATATTTGAATTCTAGAGTCTACTTTGGGAGCTTCGAATGAGTATACCACAAAAAGGATTAGGAAACGAATGACGCCGATGTCGTGATGCCTTTGAAAATTCATCTCGCCTCTACATCGATGTTTTCAATTGGTAGCTCTCCAAATGTATAAACAACCGGTCATGGTCTGATCAGCGCATGTAAATCATCGTTATAGAGATTACACTGTTATTGGAGATTAGACCTTTGAAAATGTGCCCGAATTTACTGATCAATTGATACTACAAGTTTAGCTGAACAGGGATGCCAACTGCCAAAGTCTCACTTTGAAGAAGGACACAAAAAATATATAATTTTATACAAATTCTGGGACAAAAAAGTTTGTCAGGTCAACATGAACGTTCTGCTTAACGAGCGTAAAATTGAATTGTATATTCTCAAAGTTACCGATTGTATACTTGAAAAAAAGTAATTACAGCAGGAAATAAGAAATCGATTGAATGTAAGGCCCCAACACGTAAGAACGACGAAAAAGGTATAAAAAAGAAAAAAATCGGCCGAACCCGTATATTAATAATAATATACAGTGTCGCCATCACACCATGTTTTGTTTTACGCACAATACACACACACACACAACCCCCAAAGCGGCGAAAAATGACAGTTCCGTGAAATCTTAGCCGTAACAGATGCGCTAAACGGTCTCCTTTCCGCGCGTAAATTTCCAGTGCAAAGCCGCTCTCTCTCTCTCTCTCTCGCGACAACCGAGCGATGAAGGTGACGTTGTTTTAACGTAAATCCCGCGCTGCACGTGCAAGGATGAGAATCAGTGATTTTTGCCACCGCAACATTCCGACCAACCAAATCCCGGCGTGCCGTATCGAGTGGTAGTGCGCGCACACATGCGTTTCTTGTTTTCCTCGATCGTCCGCCCCTCGACCCTCGAATAATGGCCACGGGCGCCGTCAAGGACTTTTCCTGCGTCGGCGGACTCGAGAAGCACATACGCATCGTCAAGGAAATGGTCCTGTTTCCCCTCATGTACGGCGACGTCTACGCCAAGTTCAATCTACGCCCGCCCCGGGGCCTACTGTTTTACGGCCCACCAGGTTGTGTACTCCACATGGTTTCGTGGTATCACCTACACCGTTTACTTTTTCGCCTTGGGTCGTTCATACATCCGCACAATTACATGTAAAACTTGTACACGCAGGAACCAAACAATCCCAAATTTCCCTCGAGATTTCCTTGCTTTGCCATTTTCAAGGGATTGGAGCGTTGTTTATTTTATTTGTTTACAATGGCGGGTACCCGTCGTTACAATGCAATAAAAAAAAAAAAAAAAAAAAAACGCGTATACCATAAACTGTCGGAGTATAAGCGAAACTGAACGAGTTGTTTGATACGCAATGAAGAAGTGAATGAAAATGGAAACATATATTGTTCATCTTGTACAATGTCACACAACTTATTCCTTGCTGGGAGATGAAAAACCTTGACAGGTCTGCAACCGATTAAAAAAAAAAAAAAAAAAAAAAAAAAAAGTATAGGACCCCACCTCGGTTGTCCACGTGAATGATAACGGATGCTCGTGTAACAATATAAGCCCGAAATGCCGTATATATATACATATACATTCCCAATGAAGATCTTTCATAAATATGTTCGAGTCCGAAACGACGTGAATCGCGCAGGTACCGGCAAAACCCTGGTCGCCAGCGCCCTGGCCGTCGAGTGCAGCAACTCGGAGCGCAAGGTCTCGTTCATATCGCGCAAGGGGTCCGACTGCCTGAGCAAGTGGGTCGGGGAGAGCGAAAAGAAGCTCCAGAAGATCTTCCAGACCGTAAGAGGCGAAAAAAAAAAAAAAAAAAAAAACGCCCCCGTGACGATAAAAAGCAACACACACGCGAACCCCTCGCAGGCGCACCAGAGCCGGCCGTGCATCATCTTCTTCGACGAGGTGGACGGGCTGGCCCCCGTGAGGTCGAGCCGGCAGGACTTTGTGCACGCGAGCGTCGTCTCGACCCTGCTCGCACTGATGGACGGGCTGGACAACAACTCGGAGATCATCGTCATCGGGGCCACGAATCGGCCCGACGCCATAGATCCCGCTCTCAGGAGGCCCGGGCGCTTCGACCGGGAGCTGTACTTTCCTCTGCCCTGCTACACCGCCCGCAAGGAGATCATAGCGGTTAATAGTACATTTATATATATGTACATATAGCTGCTGATCCGAGGTGTCGCGTGCGCCGTACGGAGGCAAACATTTTTATCAACCCCTGCGTCCAACTCGACCATCTGAGTTTTACCACAAAAACGGCACGTTACCCTGAACGCGCGCCTTAAAAAGCTTTTCAAATATTAGTATTTACGGTGCAGCTTTTTTTTTTTTTTTTTTTTTTTTCTTAAATGAGGTTATCGTGTTTTTTCAAAAACAAGGGGAAAGTTTTATGATTTCGGAAGAGGGGGGGGGACTACATTTTTTTCTCACGATCGTAGATTCACGTGAAAAGCTGGAAGCAAAAGCCGCCCCAGAAATTCATCGCGTATTTGGCTTCGAAAACTATTGGATTCTGCGGTAGTGATCTTCAAGCGCTCTGCACCGAGGCAGTCATGTGCTGCGTTAGGAGAAATTATCCTCAAATATACACCACGAAATCAAAGTACCACATTAATGAAAAATCGTTGAAGGTAAGATTGAAAACTATCACGTGAGTACAATAACTATAGTAAATCAGTTTCGGTGTAATAAATTTAGAGTGATAAATCGTGGACAAAGAAAAAGGGTTTGTTTGTCCTTATTTTAACTCCCCGAATAATAAAATAATAAATATCACAAAAGAATGCGCGTACAAATATATATACACATGTGCCCAATGGGGAGGAAAGGATCAGTTGGTACATAATATATGATATTTAAACTTTTTTTTTTTTATGATGCACAAAATAAAAATTTGATTGCTCTGTCGCTCAAAAGTGACGTACTACTGTCCAATACTATAAAAATACTATAATAACCTGGTGCTTGGTCTGAATCGTATTTGATATTTAAGGTTGAAAAGTTCGATTTCATCAAGGCCCAACAGAACATAGTACCGGCTTCACATCGCATATGCGTTGCACCGGTGAAAACACTTTCGCCAGAAATCCGACCGTTGCTCGAAAACAAATTAAGTAGCATCATGGAAAATTTACAAATCATTTGTCCGACTGAAATCATCACGTCCGACGACTCGTAAGGAAAAATCATCTTCTCTATTGCCTGTGTTTATCAATTTAGTTCAAACGGCATTGTATTAAATGCAAATAGAAAAAAAAAAAAAAAAAATTAAGCTCATTTGTCTTGTAAAAGTTGCCTCGAAGTGCGAATAAAATGTTTCGAGTGTCATTTATGAATTCAACGTATAACACATATACCATTAATCTAGGAGCAGCAAATCGACATACAACTCGACAAATTGTCCGAGGCTCTTGCTATGCGGACTCGATGACTGCCACACTCGGCATCTGGGTCCAGCAGTTCTTCACACCTTGGAGCACCTACCCTGTCACGTCTTGGACGTAACCACCCTCTTTGAAGAAACCGGCAGAGCAGTGGAAGAATCGATTATTCAAGTAAATACATATAGCACATACATACAGATTTTTTAGAGTAGATGAACTTAATTATGCGTATTTTTATTGAGGAATGTCTTGAAGATAGGGCGAAAAATTGGTACTCAATTGGAACGATCTCTGGGTTCATTTACTAAAGTGGAAAAAAAAAAAAAAAAAAAAAAAAAAAAGATTAAATATTCGAGTTTGAGCAGAAAAAAAATCTTTTAATTTTCAGAAAGTAAAAACTGCACGTCACACGTTACCGTCTCTGCTCTACGTGCCGGATATTCTGTCTTGGTGGGACTTGGTGGACGAGGCGGCGCGCGTAGTATTCGTATCGCTGCTTCGGAACCTGGACCGTTCTGTTCACGTGTTTGTATTGACCACAGCCAGATGCGCTCAAAACGAGCTGCCCATCGAGGTTTTTTTTTTCTCCATTTACCCATATTTCAAACAATTACAGCCAACAGCAAGCGATACCGATTATTTTTAATATTTTTTATTTTTTTTTTTAGATCTCAGAATTATTCAGTGTTCATCAGAGGGAAGTTATCGAAATCGAGCACCCTAACGTGGCAGAGAGGCGGAATTATTTCAATGATTTGTTACTCAAAATAAATTCTGACTCGGACGATAGCTCGAACAAATCAATGACCGGTAAGTGGAGTTTGCACATGTCGTCATCTATATACGTGAATAAATCACGCCTATGTAAAATGTAAGACATAACATGAAACACAATATAAAACAACGTGATTTATTATTAATTCGTTTTAGTTTTGAAGTAAAAAATAATGAATTCTTTGTCTTTTTATAGAACTTGAATTTTTTCGCCAAAAACATCGATGTATGATTGGATATAACCCTTAATTTTTTTTCAGACGAAGTTCCAGAATCTCTACCTGCAAGAAGATGTAGGATCGACAGTAAAATGCGTTCGAAGCTTGGAACTGTTATTCCTGAAAGACTGACAAGATCCAGATCAGGTAAAAATTCATTTTTACGAATGCACTTTACGCAACTATTTTGTTTTCATTAGTAACATATTCAATTTAAGGATTCTATTCTTTGAAAATAAACAGTATATTATTTTTCATCCTTATCATCTCGAATAAACGTGACGCGTCGAGTTGAAATAATTATTATTTCAGTTTCAGCAAAGCACAATAAAAATAAAATTTCAGAAATAAAAAATTTACATTGAAAATCGATGCGTAATTAATTTCCAGTCAATTTCCGCGATAAATATTAAAACGGCAGCGATGGAACACTGTAATTAAAAATTCTGCATACAGCGACAGCAGCGGCCGCGGCCTCGGTTCTGGCGACGAGCAGCAACAAACGCGAACGCGGCGGATCGTGTGGAAGGGCTCCCACCGCGAAGCGCCAACGATTCAATATTCCGAGCGAAAATGGGTCGAAAGCGCCCAACAGTGCCGAAAAACTGAATGAAACCCAGACGCAGGAATTGCTGCTCCGGTTGGTCCAGTTGACGAACGGCTGGCCTTGCTACAGACTCGAGATCCTGCGATCGTCTTTGGAACTGATTCTTCACAGTCAGGACACCGAACTGTACGACCCGATCAGAGACTGTTTGACCTGCTTCGAGAACGAACTCGACTCTTACAACCTGTGTAAGCAAGAGTTAAGCCGGAAGGTAACGTTGTTGTTTTAAATTTTATTTTTCATTCTCTAGAGACGTTGACAGTCCCCAAGTGTAATATTCCAGTCAAAATTTGAGTTCAAGTGTTGAAACTCATGGGGTTCTTCTTTTTTAAGTTTATTTTAATGGCCCGAGTTTTCACTGCAATCTTATATCTTAGAAATTCATATTTTTCAATATCACCTATGTCTTTTTTTAAAATAAAATTTAGTTAATTGTTTTTTCCCATTAATGTAGTTTTTTTTTTTTTT